GTACAAAGTGTAATTCAATCCTGGTGATAGATTGGGAGATTAATCATAATTTACAGCCTTGTGAAGGCAGATACGCACATACACACAACACACAAAAGTATGTAAAAGGAAAGAAAGGAAAAGAAAAATATTCAAGCACTCAGAAACTTTAGCTTCTAGTAATAATTAAATGTATTGATGACATTTTTGAAAGATAAACAATTTCTCCCTTTTTCTCAGTTTTTTGTGGATTATAAAACTGGGGTTTGACTGACTGCTTCCAGTTTCTAAAAAAAAGGAACTAAAAACAAAAGCAGACAACGGGAGCTTTTTTTAAAAAAAAAAGAAATCTTGATACTTAGAATATATTTTTTTCCTGGCTTCTTTTTAAACAATTAAAAAATATTTACAAAATTGACTTTTCCTTGAAAAAAGACTTCAACTGAAAATTCAACAACCTCCAGTGCTAGCCCTGGGCTAATATGGTCGTCTAAATTAGACATGAACATTCTTACACCGGTTTTTGAGTTTGGGGGAAGGGGAGTTTTTTGGTTAGGTTTGGTTTTCCTTTTTCTTAGTTATTGATCAGAGAAAATAACTTGAATTTCAAGAAAGTGAAACTACATTATAGTCTAGAGAATCCACAGAAACCTTTGTAGAGCATTTGAAAAAATGAAAAATACCATTTTTGGCCCTAAGCCTTTCACGTACAATTCAACAGTCAACACAAAGTCAGTGGCAGGTCTCCAATATTGTATAACCTGTATATAGCACTTGAAAATCATGTTCATAGCTAAAAAGTGGCTGTGTGTGTTATTACTTCTTACAGAAAAGGTGTGAAATCAGTACATTCCTTGAAATGCTTTTAATTTGTAGAGGATATCTATAATTTAATTTTATATTTTTTATTTTTTTTTCTGTTTTACAATGATGTGCTATTTCTCCATTTTGGTTGAAAATCACTTACATCAATAATAAGAACAGCAGATTTGAATTCTCACAGTTGTTTACTGCAGTGACAGAAATCCCCTGAACACAATTATCTCGGATGAAGATTTTCATGTCCCTCACTCAGAGCCTTCCTAAACACAATGTGTTTTGCCCTCAGTTGACTGAGAGGGCCTGAGTTTCAGAGAATAGGGCTTCAACGCTTCCTGCAAGTGTGACAGCTTCAAAGTATGTCCAATGAGACCCTAGAACCACCAGTCATTTTGGAAAAATGTTGTTGCTGTTTCTCTGATCCATTGTCTTTTTCAGAGTGGCACAACTGTGTTTGCTGTGCACAATTCCCAACAAACTGATTGATGTGGAAGGCAAGCCAGGAAAATCTCTGCTCCACCCCACTTTGCATGTTCCACGGTTAAAAATGTTCAATAACTACCCAGATGGGGAATATATTTTTTCCTTTCTGTTCCTGTACATATTCCTTCTGCAAATTGCATTATTATTGGGTCACTTGCAGGCTGTTGACTTCATTCTACAGCTTGTAACCCTTTGCATAGTCTCCCACCTACCACACTGCTCTGGAAATGCCACCAGTGAGCTTCTGCCATGAAATGTTCCTGTAAATAGGAACAAAGGGAGCATATGGATCCTTTGATTAATCCTTGCTATACACACACACACACACACACACACACACACACACCACACCCCAAATGAAACCCACGAGTGGTCAGAACGCTTTGTGTGCAGCCCTGGGCTGTAATGACATTTGTGTTATATCTTGCTCTTGTTGGGGTGTTATATAACCATCATTGCTCGAGCCTACATCTTCATTCCTTCTTGGGTTACATGACCAGCACTGAGATTAGGAACAGGTTTCAAAGTATGTCCACATACTGGTAATTTATCACACACATATTACACAAATAAATAAATAATACACACATATATATCAACTTAATTGCTGCACATGTAAGTACCCGACTTCACATAATGAATACTTCAAGAAAGTCTATACCCCAATAGATATTAATTACTCTGTCTGAACTAGAGGCCCCACTTTTCTCCTAAACATGCTACATTCAGTAGACTATTAGATTTATGCTGTTGCTCATCACTGCGCTGCTTAAACATTTTATTTGCTAAAACAAAAGCAAAAATAAAAACCCCAAAGGAGAGAATTTTATTTTTTTTTATAAGGCATATAAAAAAGGTAGGATAGTTTTGGAGCAAGACTCACAGAAAATTAACTTTCCAGGTTTTGTCTGCATTGTTTTATTTAAACTGTTTTGGTGTCAAAGGATAAGAACATTGCAAGTATTATCTTTGGAGGAAAGAAATCCTTCTGCCTGGATATACTTCTGGATGACTTACATAACTTTTAGTTTACACCAGTGCAGCTAAGAGATGATTATTTTTTTCTGGTAGTGGGTTTGTGCCATCACCCAGAGCTGGGTTTTTCCCCAGGAACAGACCCAGCTTGGCATATCCAGCACCAGTAACAACAGAGGTACACTTCCTCACAGGAGGAAATTCCAGCTTATACAGGGCCACCCTCAATTTCAGAGGAATTTTGTATGATTTAGGACCACTAAAAATTTCTGGTCTTGATCACAGCCAGTCTGAAAAGGATGCAGCCTTGTAGGCTGGAGGTACATTAGATACAACCGCTCTGCTTGTGTTTTGCTCTGTTAAAAGGACACCATTATTCTAAGTCCCAAGTAATTGCCAAACAGTTACACTTCAGCAAATTTCCATGAAAGATATACAAGTCCCCAGAGATGTTCTGGCACAGGAGTGTTAAGTGCAGCATCCTTATATTTTAAGTAGGTGATTCTTTGCTACATAAATGTCCCAGCCTGCTGCATGCACAAAGGTAAGATGACCCTCCAGAGACATTAACAGGCTTTTTACCTCCTCTGTGCCTTATTCACAGGCAGGCAACATCCCACCTCCCCTCTCCAGGCTTGCTTTGCTTATTTGTGTTTATGGTACACAAGGCAGTAGATAAACAAAAAGGAGTTTTAGACACTTTCTGTTCTTAGCTAAACCTTTTAGTTACACATTAGGGAACAGAAGTGTGGTACGACCCTCTGTTTATTTGTGGTTCTTTTAAGTGATGTCCAGAGACCTACATTTCATGGTTGTTTGAAAGTTTATATAACAGTGGGAAGCTGTTAAACAGCAGCTTACCTTCACTTTTTTCTTTTTCTTTTTTTTTTTTTTTTATTATGTAAGGGATTTGAAATTAACACTCATTCTACAATATTATTTTAGATATTATTCAATATTCCCAGCTTTCCTCTTCCTTTCCTGAAAGTAATGATAAGCGCATTCATGTCAACAAATCTAAAATATATTTGGTAACCATGCACTTTAAAATAGCCCATGAAATTTCACTTTAAGTTGCTGTTCAGCTATCTGTAAAAAAATAAAAATTAAAAAATTGTGATTAAAAGAAAAATCTGCACTCTTCAGATTAGACCAATGAACAAGGTGAAAAGTACTTCCAAAAAGAAATATTTTCATTTTACTTCCTTGCATTCTATTGAGTAGTACATTATTCAATCTTTTAAATTAACTGGATATGTTTTTTTTAAAATACAACATCCTTGCTCATCTCCTAGTTCCTAAAGTTTGGCCTGTTCAAACACCCTGAGGATCTCTCTAGCACTACAATGCATTCAGGAAATAAGCTTTTCTTTCATATGTCTAAAATCTCCCCTTTTTTCTTTATAAAATTTGACCATAATTCTGTTTCCTTAAGACTCAATGGTACTTTTACTTTGCTATAAGATTCACTTCTTTTAGTACGTTATATAGTGGCAGCTCCTTCCAACACAGAACACTTCTTCCATTAAAAAAAAAAAAAAATTAAAAAAAGAAATCCAAATAAAATAAATACTTTATTTAGCAACCAGATCTTAATGCAAAGTCACTTTGGGATATTGGATATGTTGTTTTCCTTCAAATCATCTTGAACCTTCAAACTAAGAAATATAAAACAATTTCAATGTAAATCATTTAGCATATAAATTTGATTTGGACTAAGAAGTAACTGTATAAAAACTGCCAAAATTTTACTGCAAAGTATGCATTTTCTTGGCTCCTTACATTAGGATGAAAGAAAACCCACTTTTTAATTATGAATTTAAGTGTTTGGAAAATAATTTTCAGCCTGAAAGACAAGCCAGTTTTGTTGTTTTTAAAATTATTTGTGTCCAGGAATTTTTCTGGGAGAACATAGATGGAATTCATAGTAAAATAAATTTAATGTAATTCCATCATTTTTTTGGAAAGCTCACATGACAGAGTCATATCCCATTAATTCACAGTGATCACTAGAAGGCCAACTGAAAACTACAGAATAATACAAACTACAGCCAAAAAATTTAAACGGTTCACTACACAAGACCTCATTTATTTTAGGTTTGAAAAAAAAAAGACATGTTGTCTTCCCCACGATAACTTTGTGCAACAACTCTAACTTAAATGACCATTCTGTAATGAAAACAATTACCTTTTAGGGTTATGAATTCTCACGGTATAATGTTATGCGTTTATATTTTTTCTGGAACACTTCTGGATGCAGATTCAGACTCTGCTACAAACATGTAAAATATTCTGCACTGCAAGGCAATGACTGAAACAAAATTTCTCATCTAAAGTTGCTGAAAACTCCATAGCTCACAAATTTGTCTTATTATCATTATTAGTATTTGTCAAGTTATACTATATATATTCTTTCTATATATACAGAGAGAGAGAATATTCTATTCTCTAACTCTTCCTAAAAGAAAACCTTGGTGAGTGACAGAACTGCAAATCCAATCAAATACCATGAAAAGTGGCCATAATAAACTTTTCTACAGTGAAACTCCACTTAAGGGTGCAGCAAAATGAAAATCACGGAGCACGTTTATGCTTTTTGACCGAGACACTGCATTTACGCAGACACTTGAAACTGCTGACAGCAAAGTTTTTTTGGGAGGGAAAGAGTCACACTGAATGTCTTAATAGGTATTAAGAATAATAAGCAAGATTTCTGAGAAAGCTCCCCAGTACTGCTCTCAAAAAGAAGAGATTCAAAAGCTATAAAGTCCTGTTTAGGCCAACAAGTTGCTACATTTCTTGAGCAAGGACAATTTTCTTAGTACAATCATTTCCTCCAACAAGGTAACTCATGTAAACACCATCAGGGTTGTACTGTTTGTTCTGTGCTGCCAGATGGGGGATATAAACCATGCAGAAACAATTTCAGATTTCCACCCTGATTAGTTCATCTTGAATATTTTCACAGTGTGAATCTGGAAGTCAGAAGTTTACATAATGGTTATAAATTAGGGAGAAATCCTGCTGCCAAGAAAGTCACACTCAAGCAAACAAACTGTCTCCTTCCTAACATGTTTTAGGTGTTGCTTATCAAACACATTCTGGGCTGTAGGTGGAAAAAGACCTTGAATTCCTCTTCGGTTTTTGGATTGCTGTTTTCCCACCGCGGGCTGTTTAGTCACAGCGGTGATTGACCCGCACCGTCCCCATCCCGCGCCCGGTGCCCGGCCCGGCGAGCGCAGCTTGCGGCAGCCTGCAGCTCCCTCCGGGGGCCAGCCGAGAGCGAGCCCGCAGCCTCCCGAAACCCTCGAGGAGCTTTGAGCCATCGGCCAGAGAGAAACTTCACTCAGGAAAACATACCCCCTGCAAGTCCTCGAGTCCTTCACACCAGAGTTTTGCTACCAGGCAGCCGAAGGGGTGACTTGTCCTGCATCCCTGAACTTCTCTCATCCACGTTGTGCCTTCCTGAGCTTCTTCAGAGCACAGCTTTGGCTGGTTTTTACTGTCACCCCTAAACACAAGCCTCAACTCCAGTATTATTTTACAAAAACTCAACATAATGCCAGTTCTTATTAGACTCTATGGTGGCTGTGGTTGAAAAGAAAATAAAGATCACAGTGTGCCTGTAGAGTAGATAACAAATACCCGAGTCAGGCTTATGCAAAGGCAACTCTCAAGGCACAGGCAGATGGAGTAGGCAAAAGGTAAAGTTTACACATTCTTTCCAATTGGCTTGGCTGAGTGCTAAAGCCAGTAAAGCGCTTGCTTTTATTCAGAAATCAATTTAAAATCCATCATGTGCCAGATATATAATTGAAAATTCTGGTTATTGTAAGTACAAGGGTAAATTCTGCCCTCTGATACATGCACAAGTTCAGCTTCCCTTTAGAATCATCAGGGTTAATGTACATACATGTCAGGGCAGAGTTTAGTATTATCTCCGTGGAGCAGCGAACAACATTAGGTCAAACAGGCCGGTTTCATTTAATACTAAGCATGTTTAAGGAGAAATGTCAGAGTTCAGTTCCGCTGGCTAATGATGTAAACCAGGAATCACTGAAGCCAGACACCTATTCTGATCTTATACCAAATTTGTGTTAGGATTACTCACTGAAATAAATCAGTTCTTTACCAGGAATCCACCCTACTGACACATGAGCAGTTCATAAACTTTGCTCAGACAAGGAAATCATGCCATGCAGGTGAGTAAATTTATTTGTGTGCTTTAACTACTTGCTAAAGTTACTTTTTTTTTATTGCTGCTGTTGAAGTATTTTCAGCTGAAAATTACTTCTCATTTTAAACAAAGTTTTGCAGGAAATACCAGGTTCTTTTCTCTTTTCTCTTTCTTTCATATCCTTTTTTCTTTCTCCTTTTCTATTTTTTCTTTTATTTTCGTTTTTTCTTTTTTCAGATTTTTCTTCCCCTCTCATATTTTTTCCCTTTTTTCTTTTTCTCGTCTGCCTTTCCTTTCCCCTCCCTGAGACATACTATATTGATTTAAAAAAAGTTCAAAAATTTCTAACCAAAATGTTTTGATGAAAATACCACAGGTTTTGAGGTTTGGTTTCGGTTTTTTTCTAGCTGTGTTTGTTTTGTTGTGGTGGTGGTGTGTTTTGCGGTTGTTAGAGCTTTTTTGCTGCTGTTGTTATTTTATCATTTCGAGACAGAAAGGGCAAGTTTCCAATTAATTCATTTACCTGGTAAATGAAAAGAATAGACAAGAGAGACAAGTTTCCCAGCAGGAAGCTTGCTGACGAGCGGCTGGAGCCCTGGAGCGCAGGGGACAGAATCCCACCCAAGCTCAGCATTCGGTTGCGTTTTGCCCGGGGCAAGACCTGTGCTAATACCAGAACGATCCGCTGCTCTAAAGAACTTCAAACACTAAAGCGTACATTAGGAAGCATACGCGATGCTCTCAGATGCGTTTCTCATGATCAGTAGGTTGCCGGTCTGTTCGAATCGTTTGCCGGACGGAGCGGGCCCGTGGCTGGGGGAGCCGGGGCGCACCTGGCGAGCTGCGGCCGAGGCTGGGCTGCTGTGGGCTGCGGCCCCTCCCGCTGCTCCGCGGCCGGGAGCTGGGGATCAGCCGCTCCTGGCA